TCTTCAATTCATTTATGATTCATACACAAAACCAGAGGAGAACATGATCACAAAAGAAAATCGAAAAAGCAAAAGAACAGAAAAAAAAAAAAAATTGACACTTGCTGAGGATGAACACTGGAATTCGACATTAAGAATCTAGGACTAAATCAAATTTAAGATTATCTTGGTCAGCTAACCAACTTCCCATCAATTCATCAGAAAACAAATGAGTTTGGTCTGAAGAAGGTGAGACAATCTGACAGAACCTATCTTCATCATGATTTGTGAAGTCGATACCCTGAAGAAACTCCAACGTCGACCCAATGTGCTGCTCCTACTTAACATTCATCATGAAATCCCACGAAGCATCAATCTGTAAATCATTATCGATGGTTGTTACGGGTTTTGTTTCTTGACAGCAGGATGGAACAGTAATTTCTGTGAAATTTAGGATCTTGTCTTCTTTGTACTGCTTGGAGTAAGCTTCTTCTTGTGTTATTAATCTCTTTCTCAATGATGTATTCCAATAATTCTTGATTTCATGGTCTGTCCGCCCTGGAAGTCTTCCGGCTATCAGACGCCACCTACAAAAACTTTCAAAGTGCACACCATCGCTCAATGTTTTATCTAATTAATGATGTTTAATTAAATTAGTTGTATGAATTTCAGTTAAGAGCGTAAATCACCTGTTGCCCAAGAGTTTGTGTAGCCTGATAATGAGGTCCTCTTCATCTTCAGAAAAATTCCCTCTTTTAATATCAGGCCTAAGATAATTCAACCAACGAAGTCTACAACTCTTCCCATTTCTCTTGAGACCTGCACGACAAACCTACATTACTTATCCTCAATCAATCATGAACAGATGGATTAAAAAAAAAAAAAAAGAGAAAATGTCATTATAAGGTCCTTCAGCTTAAAACCCAAAAATTTAACCAACCAAATTACCATTAAAGATAAAAAAAAAAAAAAAAAACCTCCGAGTTTTACATAGAATTACAATTTGCTCCAAATTCTAAAGTCAATGTTTGATTGGTGATAATAACTATTTATTAGT